TCGGCCAGAATGACTTCTCCCATCCCTTCAGCCAGAGATGAGTGATCCAGCTTCTCCATCCCGGGCAGCTTTTAGAGTTCCCTCTGCTTTATTTTGTGCCATTCTGAGAGGTATGTGGCAGTGGCTTCTTTTGGACTGTATCAGTCACTTTTCTGTTGCTGTGACAAAAGGCCATGACCAAGGTAACAGAAGAGTTTATTGGGTTACAGTTCCAAACGGGTTAGAGTCCATCATAGTGGGAGGCAGCCAGAGCAGAAAGCTGAGCACTCACATCTTCAAGCAGGCACAGGAAGCAGAGAGAGACACTGGAAATGGGACATGGCTATGAACTCTCATCCCCGGTGATGTGCTTCCTCCAGCAAGGCAGCACCTCCTAAAACCTCCCAAAATGTGCCACCACCTGGCGCCAAAGCGGTCAAACACTGGGAGCCTTTGGGGGACATTCCTCATTCAAACCACCACATGGACTTCATTTCCCTGATTTCTAGTGATGCTGGTCAGCTTTCTGCATGCTCATCTGACAGCTGTCTGTCCTCTTTGGTGCAGTGCCACTTGTTGTGAGCCCTTGTTGTCAGATCAGCCTTTTACTTAGCTTTGGAGCTTGAAAACTTTCATATTTTTCTGAAGTTTTATATTTGTATGGTTTGTATTTAAGCCCATGGTCCATTTGGAGTTGACTGTTTGTATAGAGCATTAAACGGAGGCCAAGTTACACTTTGTGTTTTCACTTAATGGCTTATTGGATTTTCCAGGGCCATTTATTGAAAAGGTTGACTTTATAATACTGCACGGCCTTTGCAGCCTTGTCAAGTCAGGTGGCTGCTGTATGGGAGGCGTTGTTTCTGGAGTCCCTTTTCGTCCTATGAACATAGTAGATCTTTCCATTTAGCTAGAGCTTCTTTTTTTTTTTTTTCCTTTAAGTAGCATTGTGTAGTTTCACATATAATCCTATAATGCTTTATTAGATTTATATATTTATATCCTTTTTAGTGATTGTTATAATAGCATTGTATTTTATATTTCAGTTTTCATATGTTTATTGCTAATACATAGGAATAACTTTTAAAAAATGCTGATAATGTTTTCTGTGCCCTTGCTGAACTTACTAGTTCTGGAAGTTTGTGTGTGTGTGTGCGTGTGTGTATGTGTGTAGATTCCACGAAATAAACAATAGGCAGTCATGGAATTTGCAAATAATCACCAATTTCTAATGTAGAAAATTGACATAGTTTCTGTGAATGTCTCTGTGTGGGTGTTTTTGTTTTTATTTTACTTTTTTTTGTGTTTTTGACACAGGGCCTCACATGGCCCAGGCCGACTGCCAACTTACTTTCTAGCCAAGGATAACCTTGAACACCTGATCCTCTTGCCTCCACCTCCCACGTGCTTACCTTATATAGACTCACCCTGAAGGCCTGGCTAGTTTGTCTTTCTATGCTTGAGAAATAGGTGTTGATGTCCACAACTTTAATTGGGGACTTGTCTGTTTCTGTTGTAAATTCTGTTGTTTTTTGCTTTACATGGTTTGCAGCCCTCTTATCTGATGAACCACATTTAGGATTGTAGTGAGATATATGTATATATGCATATGTATAAATGTGTGTATATGTATATATGCATATACGTATATATGTGTGTCTATATATGTATATGTATTTGGTGAAATTTTTTTTTGCTATTATGTTTAATTTCTCTCGGTCTCTGACATGTTGTTTTTGTTCTGAATCTACTACTATTAATATATCTATTGATGCTTTCTGTTTATTTCTGCTGCTGATAGGTCTTTTTTCATCTTTCACTATGAATCTACCAGTATCACTAAACTATTATGTGGTTTCTTGTAGACAGCTTATAGTTTGGGTCATAGTTTGTTATTATTCTACTCTACCCATCTCTATCTTTTAATTTCTATATTTGTAGCATTTACATTTAATGTAATTATTAAACTATTTAATCTTATTCTTGACCTTCGTTTTTTGTTTTCTGTTTGATCTTTTTTCATTTGTGTTTTCTTTTTGCTGAATCCTAAAGATTTCTCAACATTTGTTACAATTCCATTGCTTTTTCCTATGGTGTCATTGAATGTTTTTGTTTGTATAAATTTTGTATTAATAGTTGTTCTTAAGTTTTATATACCAACATAACTTTCTTTTTTGAGGCAAGGCTCCCAATAATCTGAGCTAACCTGGAACTCATTACATAGACCAGGCTGGCCTTGGTCTCGCAGAGACCTGCCTCTGCCTCCTAAGTGCTGGGATTAAGTGCGTGCACCACTATACCAGGCCCTTAACATAACACTTTTATACAATTTTCTAAAATATATTCTTTAAATATATTACATCCAAGTTGTAATTTGGGTGTAATTTTTAAATTTTTGTTTCATCCATGAAATGTAATTTAGGAAACTTAATAGAAGGAAGATCTCTGTACCTCACCTGTTTTTTCTGATGTTTCCTGGCCTTTTTCTGGATATCCTGAGCTTCTTTCTTTCATCCCTTCCTTTCTCTTTAGAATATTTGCCATCTTCTAGGCTAATGTGTTAGTGAACAATTTGTTCTTCTGCAGATAACATATTTCTCAACACTGGCAGTTTCAGATAATTGAGTGTGGTACTTGATCAATAAAGATTAAGGAACAGGAAGATTGAGGAGTGAGTTGCTGCAGGGCTGACACGTGATTCTCATCTTTTCAACAAACACTTCATGTATGGATTACAAATGTGGCACAGCCACACAATGGAATATTACTATGGGTATAAAAGAATCAGCTCTTGATACATGCAAAAATATGGGAAAATCTGGAATGCATTATGTTGAATGCAAGAGGCCAAAAAAAGACTACATAACACACTGTAGAGAATACACACTAGTGGGAAAAAGTAAACATCATCTGGGGGTAATAAAGCAACCTTTGATGAAACACTGGGGACTGTAGCCATTTTGATTATAGTGATGATTTCTCAGTCACACATATTCCCAATGCAAACTTTAAATATACACAGGGGCTGGTGAGATGGCTCAGTGGGTCAAAGTGCTTGATGCCCTGAGTTTGATCCCTGGAATTCACTGTGGAAAGACAGAACTGACTCCCAGTGTAGTCCTCCGGCCTCTACACATGTGCCGTGTCATGCACATGCCTATATTCATACACATACACACACAACAATAATAAAGGCACAGACTGCATGTTGAGTATTTGATATAGCTGTTTAAAGGTGCCTTGTTCATGTGTTCCCACAGTGCATGTCTGTCACACAGCCACCTCATGTGTGTCTGTGTCTCATCTGCACTAATTACAGAATGAGGTCACTTGTTGTGTGCTGGGATGTTGTAGTGATAAATAGCTCAGAGAGTTTTGCAATGGCCACCCATGTCTGACTGTTGTGATCGACTGCTGTTGACTATATCTGACGTGTCCTGGCTGACAAGTGTTAATCCTCTATAAAATGTGACTTCTCCCTTTTGAATTTTCAAATTGATGTCTTCCACTGTGAAGGAGTGCTCTTATCTGAGACCACACTTGGAGTCACACCACCTCAGGTTGATGCCTCCCACTGCTTTACATGCATCTCTCCTCAGTATGAGAACATTCTAGATGTGTCACCCTGTAACCAGTCCATCCTCATTCACCTGATCAACTGTGTTCTGGTGTATGAATTCGAATGCAGCTGATTTTCTCAGCACGATGCCTTAGATGGGCTGCTGTATTTTGAACTTCACTGTAATACTCCCACTCCTGAGGGAATCATGTAAAAGTTGACTGAAAGAATAGTCCACGCTGTTACACTGAAACACACTGGGGACATGGGGTAGTAAAATCTTTTCAGATTCTGCTTGTCCTTGTCAGCTGGAAATCTTTAAAAAATTATAGTATTGGGGCTGGAGAGATGGCTCAGTGGTTGAGAGCACTGACTACTCTTGCAGAGGACCTGAGTTCGATTCCCAGAATGCACATGGTGGCTATGAACCATCCTTAACTCCAGTTCCAGGAGAATCCAAAGCCATGCAATGCTTCTGTCCTCCGCTGCAGCATTGCATGACATGGGTGCTCTCACATACATGCAGGCAGCACACTTGTACGCATAAAAAAATTACAGTATTATTATTTTTGTGTATATGTGTATGTTTGTATGAGTGTGTGTCACATGAGTGCAGTGCCCATGGCTGAAGAGGGTGTTGGAGCCCATGGATCTGGAAGTAAAGACTGTTGTGAGCTGCCTGACATGGGTTCTGGGAACTAACTTGGGTCCTCTGGAAGAGCATCATCTCTGCAGTCTGTTAGTTGGGTATCTTGAGGAGGAGCTGGAGCCTCTGTTTCTGTAAAGACAGGGTGTGGTGACACAGTAATAGTCCTTTCTGACCAGAGAGTAACCTGAAGAGGGTGTATATATATATATGTGGATTCCTGTGGATGTATGTGTGTGTGGGGGGCAGGGGGTTAATATTTTCTTTCTTATTTTTATTTTATGATTTTGTGTGTATGAATGTATTGGCTGTATGTATGCAAGTATACCCATGTCATGCAATCCCTGCAGAAGTCAGAAGAGGGATCAGATCCCCTGGAACTAGATTTACAGATGGCTGTTAGCCGCCATGTGGGTGCTGGGAACCAAACCTAGGTCCTTCTTAATGGCTAAGCCATCTTTCCAGCCTCTTTTTTGGTCTTTTTTGGAGACAGGTCTTGTAGCTCCAGCTGGCCTGGAACTAGCTATGTAGACCAGGCTGGCCTTGATCTCACAGAAATCTAATTGCCTCTGCCTTTCAAGTGCTGCGATTAAAGGTGTGCACCACCATGCTCAACTCCATTGGATATATTTTTGTATATTCATTTTGGACAGTGACTATGTTTTTCTTCTAGGATAAAGTCCATTCTTTGAAAATAATTTGAAAACTACTTCTTAAAAATGGAAGATCGATTTTGCGGTGTCTGCATGTGAGCATACAGGTTAAAGCATGGAGAGGCACACCTGAAATAAAACACTTCTTTTTTTCTCTTTTTAGGCAATTACTCTGTTAACGGAATTAATTAGGGAGAACTTCAGGAACAGCAAATTAAAGCAGTGCCTTTTACCAACCCTCGGGGAGCTGATCTATCTTGTAGCCACCCAGGTGAGACTGTCTGCTGTACTCTGCCCTATGATGGGTTTTGACATATCCTGCCTGACACACACTAATCGCCCATGAAAACCATCTGACTTTTCCCCTTAGAGCACGCCTGAGGACTTCGGATAAATTTTACCTTTGGGAAAGAGAGCTCCTGAGTCCTTGTGCCTCTTTTCATCTCACTCTGGCTGTCTCCTTCCCTGCCTCGCAGTGCTCATGTTCCTGTAGCATAGGAGATTCTCAACCACATTTGAAAATAAAGGGACTGATGTCTCCAACTGCTCTCTAGGCTGTTGCCATCTCTGAGTTCTCCAGGCAGGAGACACTTGGTTCTCCCAGTGCAAGATCTCTACATTAGTTTAAATGAAACAACACTTTGTGTGAATGTGGTTCTTAGTGTGACCTTGGGAATTTGTTTGTTATTGTTGTTTGAGACCGGCTCTCCCTGTAGTCCCAGCTGGCCTGGAACTCAATATGTAGATCAGTCTGGTCTGGATCTCACAGAGATCTGCCTGTCTCTGCCTCCTGAGTTGAATGATGGGATTAAAGGTGTTCAGCACTACACCCGGCAACCTTGGACATTTATGATGGCAGGATTTGACTTCTCATTTCTAAACTTTGGATGTAGAAGTGCTATTGAATTCTGCAAGGGAACACTTAATGTTTCACTAATGTTTTTAGGAATATTACTGTATGAATATTGATAGATAATGGGTGGTCATATATTCTTGAGAGTTTTAAATAGATACTGATAGGCTTCAAATTAAAAAGGACATTTTCTCTATTTTTAGTTTTGTTTCTTAAAGTTGCTCCAATGTAAAGCACGATATTTTTAGTATCTAAATTAAAACAACTTTCTGAAAGAGCCACACTTTAAGACTGAGATCACAGTTGTTGTAAAGCATCCTATCAACATTTCCAATCATTCGGGCTCTGTGGATGGTGCCCCTATAAACATATACATTTTATATGATTTGACACTTGAAAGAAACATAAATTTAAATCTATAATAAAAAATGAAATGAGCCATAGCTTAGAATCCACAGATATGTCAGATGGGTGTGGTGGCCACCTAGAATCCTAGCATGGGGAGACATGGGATCCTTGGGGCGGCTGGCTTAGCTAGACTAGCCGAATTGGCCAGTCCAGGGTTCAAGTAAGAATCCCTACTTCAATCCATAAGGTAGGGAGTCATTAAGGAAGACAGCTGAGGCCAACCTCTGGCCTCTCCTCACAAAAACACACACCTACACATATGTGAATATATGCACGTGAACATACACAACACATACACATATGTGAACACAACTGAAAATATACTGTACATGTGAACACACCGTACACATTCACATATGTGAGCACACACGAGTATGTGAACATATACGTTCAGACCACACATATACGCATGTGAATATGCACACATACACTACCCCCCCACACACAAGCAAAACATAACTGGTGAGTCCACTGTGGCCATTTTATGTGTTTTCCTTGGAGTGTGGAAGCACAAGTCAGGTAGGAGTGGGCTGAGGATTGAATGAGAGGCAAAGAGACTGAGGAAGTCAGTGGGGAGCAAGGCTGTGGCAGGGGACGTGGGAACAAGGCCTGCTTTCTACCTCTGGACAGGTTCTCATGCAGCTCAGGCTTGCTTGGGAGCTTCCTGTGTTGCTGAGGGTGACCTCAAACTTCTGATCCTCCAGAGAGGACATGCTTTGTAAATGGGAGGCAGTGAGCCTACTGATGTGGAAGTAGAAGATCCTGTGGGGAGCCAGAGTGAAGAAGGGAGGCTGGGACAGGGACTCTGAGTCCTAGTAGGAGGAGTTGGGGGTGCTGTCCTGAGGACACTGGGCATCGGGTAAATTGGGGCTTGGTCAGAGTGTGTGACAGATGAGAAGCGCACACGGTGGTTCCTGTCATGGCTTCTCTAAGAGGAAAGTGTAGGAAGGGGCAGGAGGGTCACGGAGTAGACATGGTCATTTTAGACATAGTTGCTCAGAGAAGCAGTGAGCTTGGAGTGGTGTAGAAGGTCCCCGAGGGTATTGCTCATGTGTTACTGGTGGACTCTGTGCTCCGTGGCATCACTTTCCCTAGGAGCACAGTGGCCTGAGTTCAGGCTGGAGAAAGCAAGTGACTGTCTCCTGCAGGATTGGGCTTCTTGGCAGGAGTCAAGGGACACCTAGAGACAGAAGGCATTTCAGGGTTTTGGCAGGAGAGGTTGGTGAATGGCAGGCTAGGGAGTGGCTGGGAAATGACAGAGGAAGAGAGTGAGGGCAGGGGCCACATAGGCTGGGTTCTTCCTCCCAGCACGTTGATTAAACCTCCTCCCTCTGCTTTCCACACTACTTGTCTCTTCAGTTGCTCTGTTGGGGCGAGTTGCCCAGCCTAGTTTTTGGGGGGCTGTGGGAGCCTAGCCTTTGCCTTGGACACTCCAGTAACAGTTGAGCATTCTGTGCTGTCAGACTCTTCAGATAGCGCAGGGCTGGCTGGGTGGGACACCAGTGTTGACACCCACAGTTATCCACAGAACGATTTCTCCATCAGTCAGATCACACCCTCTTCTTGGTTCTTTCCACTGAGCTTCTGCTGTGTGGAGGTCTCCGCAGCACTGTATATAAGACAAGAGGTAGAAATACCTTGTGTGTATATGTCAAAGAAAGACCATGGGTCTGGCCTGGTCCGGGCCTGCCAGTCAGGTAGCAAGTGGTGATTTAAATAGAACATGAATCCGGGTAGCGTGGCCAAGCGGTCTAAGGCGCTGAATTAAATAGAACATGAAGTTTCAGAATCATGTGTTTGGAATCTTGCCTTTTCTCAAACAGGTGAATAGCTTTTGTGCCTCTAGCTTCACTGTCTCCCTTACCCTTCATTTTAGGAAGAAAAAAAACAGCACCCCAGAGAATGCTGGGCCATTCCCTTGGCTGCATACACCGTGATAATGAGGTGCCTTCGGGAAGGGGTAAGGCATCTTTGTTGTCCTCTCTGGATCCTGCAATTGCAATCACCCTCAGGCTCTGTGCAGCAGCGTAGCCTACAGCAGTGTAAGTGCTCGTCAGCATTGCTCCTGAATTTAAATAATCCCGACAAGCCATGGAGCAAAGTGACTTACAGGGAGGAGAGTGGAAATGAGCTGGGCCCTCATCTAAGTGTCCTGTTTCAAAGATGATAGCAAATGTGTACAACGTGCCTGCCTGACCCTGGTTGGGCTTTCAGCCTGACACCCCGAGCTGACACAGCTCCACCCCCACCCCCCCTACTGACTGTAGTGGTAAGTAGTGTCTGCTATGTGATGAGAGTTTTCGTGTGTCTTTTTATGTTATGGTTGATGGGGAAGCTCCCAGCTGGTCACTTCACTACCTCAAGTCCATGTAGCCTCACCGCACAGAGCAGTTATCAGCCTGGGAGGCTAGTGTTCTCTGTTTGCCTGATGCTGTTTGACATGGCTTCACCCAAGGCAAAGCCATGGGCTACAAACATTCCTGAAGGAATGATAAAGATATGTCAGGATAAAAGTCTTTCTTCCTGTGTCACATGGTGATGGAAGAAAGTTCCAGCAGTGGAGAAGGCCACCAAGACACTCCCTAGTGGTGCAGAAGTCTGAGCACTTCCTAGCCTGAAGGTACTCTGTCAGGATGGTGTATGTGACTGTGGACTGTGATGATTTCACAGCTGCAGTCAGAAACCTGTGCTTGGCTTGCTGTTTAAGGCCTCAGACTGGGACACCTGGGGAACACAGGTGAAGGGGATGTTTCTGTTGACACCAGCCTCATCTCTCAGAGGGGAGTAAGTCAAGGACCATGGGCCAAAGAAGCAAGTGTAGAAACTCAGGACCAAAGACTCTTCCCAGGACACCTTTATTTGTGCATAGAAAAGGCCCAGAACTTTCTGTCTCTAGTTTTTATTTTTATTTCTATTTAAAAAAGTATTTTATTATTTTTATTTGATATGTATGAGTGTATTGCCTGCATGTATCGTAAGTGCACCTGTGTTGTGCTGTGCCTGCAAAGGTAAGAAAAGGGTATTGATCCCTTGGAACTTGAGTTGCAGACTGTTGTTAGCTGCCATGTGGGTGCTGGGAACCAAACCCAGGTCCTTTGCAAGATCAGCCAGTGAGCTTAACCTCTCAGCCATCTCTCCAGCCCCTCATCTCATTGTCATGTTAGGAATGATGAGCCCAAGGGGTGAAAATATCTACCAGAGCAGAATGGATAATAAAATGATAATAAATGGGGCGGGAAGAGGGAAGAGGGAGAGGGAAAGGAGAGGGCGAGGGGGAGAGAGAGAGAGAGAGAGAGAGAGAGAGAGAGAGAGAGAGAATGAATAGATGATTCTGTTACCCCCTGTGGGGTCCTTTCATAACAGTTAAGCCAAGTTACCTGGCCTCATCGCCTGGTATTTGTGTGGTGTAGGCTCTGAATAGATGATAGGTGGGCTGCCCAATGTCTTGAGGGAGGAGATCTAATCCACGTGGTCTCTGTGAGTCTGGCTATTTGGGGTGAGACACCAGGAGCCATTAGGAGTTAGGCTTTGTTTGTGTATGGCATCACAAGTCGCTGGGTCAGGCTCTAAGCAGTTAAGGTATGTCAACTAGAGTGTTGGGGAATATTGCTTTTTGTCTTTGCCTTTTTGTCCCTACATGCAAGTTTTTCATTGTACATATGATATGAAGAATAATGTTTGATATCATGTATATTATTAAATAATTACTAATAATTTTAAAATAAAGAAATAGAGAAATAATTTTTTTTTGGCTTTTTGAGACAGGGTCTCCCTGTAGCCCCAGCTGTCCTGAACTCACTATGTAGACCAGGCTGGCCTTGAACTCACAAAGATCCACCTGCCTCTGCCTCCCAAGTGCTGGGATTAAAGGCGTGCGCCACCATGCTGGGTGAGAAATAATTTTATTTTAATTATGCATATGTGTGTCTGTGTACGGGTATGTGCATGTAAGTGCAGGTGCATGTGGAGGCCAGAAGAAGGCAACAGATCCCCTGGAACTGGAGTTCCTGGTGGTACTGAGCTGCTTTGTGGGTGCTGGGAACTGAACTCTGGTCCTCTGAAAGATCAGCAAGTGCTTTTAACCACTGAGCCATTCTCCACAAAGATACAGTTTTATATTTTAGTAACATACTGACTTTTTATTGTGTTAGTTACATATGGGAAGTCATATATTTTTCATAAAGTATGTAAAGTCCAAGTTATATTGTAATTTATGAAAAAATTTTGTTAAATCTTTGAAAATCAATTAAATGTGTGCTTTGGCAGGACACACACACAGAGTAGCATCATCTTACACATATATAGTATGTATCAAATAAGGCCTATGGAGTCTGATTTGTATCTCCAAATGTCCTTCAGCATGTGTCCATCCACCAGGCCCACCAAGAATTCCGTCCCTGTAAGACACTGTCTCCCCCATCCCAGCAGCCATCTAGTGCCAAAAGTTCTTTAGATTGGGTTGGTATTTCTTACCTACCTCCCCATGTCTGTGCTGGGATTTTGTCTTATTTGAGCTTGCATAGGACTTGCACATGCTGTCACCATTGTCATGAGTTCTTATGCATAACTGACCAGCTGTGGAAGACTGTTTCCTTGTGGTCATCCACCCCCTCTGGCTCTTAAATCTTTCTGCCTCCTCTTCTGCAAAGATCCCTGAGTCTTGGGAGGCAGAGGTTTGAAGAAGGTGTCCTAATCTGAAACAAGCACTCTGTGGCCTGTTGCACTCTACATATTAGCCAGCTTTGGGTTTCTGTGTTAATCACCTGCATAAGGAAACTTCTCTGGAGATAGCTGAATTTTAATGATTATTAATGAGGATGACCAACTTTTTCTATGTATCTGGTTATTTTGGTTTCTTTCAAAATGCTTGTCTGCCTTAAATCTTTTGCTTTGTAGGAACTGTAGTTTTGTAACCTATATCATAGAATGTTTTAAACACTAGAAAAGAAAATTGTAGTGATCAACTCTTTTCCTTACCTACATTCAGCAGTTAACACTTTGCCCACCTGCTTCAGGCTGATGTGTGTGGACATCCAAATGTAATATGCCATTTTCATTAATTCAGGCCTTTATTTTCTTTTTTAAAAAATATTTTTGTTTACTATTTTAAATTTGTGCGTATGAGTGTATTATCTGCATGTAGGTAGGTGCACTTGTGTCTTGCAGTACCCATGGAGGTCAGAAGAGGGCATTGGATCCCCTGAAACTGGAGTTTTAGACAATTGTTAGCCACTCTGTGGATCCTGGGAATTGATCCCAGGTCCTCTACAAGAGCAGCCAGTGCTCTTAACCTCTGAGTCATCTCTCCAGCTCCTCAGGCCTTTATTTTCTGAGCTGTTGAAAAAATAGTTCATTGTAGTCCTATACCCATGTATTCTGCATGTTAATCTTCTATGGTTGTTTGTTGTAGGTACTTTTTAAAAATAAAAGATCTCTTTCTAATTATGTGAATGATTAGGTCAGATGAGGATGTGAGATGCCCTAGAGCTGTAGTTACAGGCAGTTGTCAGTCTCACAACATGGGTCCTGGGAACTGAACTCTGTTACTCTGCAAGAGCAACAAGTGCTTTTAAGCACTGAGCCATCTCTCCAGTCCCATGATGCAGGTAGCTTTAATTTGTGGTGAGCTGTCTTTATAGTATCTGGAGATAGGCAGCAGTTCTTAAAGTTAAGACCAGTGCGATGACTTAGCAGGTAAAGGCACTTGCCACCAAAGTGGATGACCTGACTTAGATGGGGGACCCAAGACTGACCAGTCTAGGCAAATCTGTGAGCTCTAGGTTCGGTGAGATTCTGTCTTAGAAAATAAGGTGGAGAGTGATTGAGGAAGATACCTGATGACCTGTGGACCTGTAACCTCCACACACATGTGCACATGCACACTCACATATATCCGTGCAAACACATACATGCACCTGTGTGTACACGTACGCCCCTCACATGTAAATAAATGGTTTTTTAGCCTAACATCATTAAAATAGTGTCTTTCATTTAAAAATCTTATTTATTATTATTTTTATTTTATGTGTGAGTGTATTGCCTGCATTTATGTAAGTGTACCCATGCTGTGCAATGCCCATGGAGGTCAAAAGAGGGTGTTGGATCCCCTGGAACTGGAGTTACAGACTTTCAGCTGCCATGTGAGTGCTGGGGATCAGACCCAGGTCCTCTGCAAGAGCACCTGGTGCTCTTAACCGCTGAACCATGTCCCTAGCTCCTCTTTCATTTTTTTTAATGAAAAGTTTTATAATTTATTTGTTTTCCCATGCACTTTTTGATATTTTTCCTTTAAACTATTTTTAAATTAGCATATATTCATTGTATATTGTAAAGAATTTCATTAAAGACATTTAAAATATTTTATTTATTATTTTTATTTTATGTATATGCATGTATTGCCTGTATGTAGGTAAGTGCACCTGTGTTGTGCAATGCCCGCACAGGACAGAAGAGGCTGTTGGATTCCCTGGAACTGGAGTTACAGACAGTTGTTAGCTGCCATGTGGGTGCTGGGATTCTAACCCAGGTCGTCTGCAAGAACAGTCAGTGCTCTTAACTGTTGAGCCATCTCTCCAGCCCCAATTAAAGATATTTTTAAGTGTGTCATATACTTTGACCATATTCAACCCCCCTAATCCTTATTTATCTCCTCCCTCCTGTCAGGCCTCTTTCCTTTATCCAAGTAGTTTCCCTTTTACTTTCATGTCATACACATACATGTATACATATATATGTCCAAACAGAGTTCTGTACATACACACATGTGCGTATATGTGTGCATATATGTATGTATGTATATGTGTATATATCCACGTGCTTGTGTATATCTATGCTCATGTGTATATGTGCATGTGTGTATATATGTATATTGTAGGCATGTGTGTTGGTACAAGGGGTTAAACCCAGGCCCTTGTACATGTGAAATATATACCCTGCCACCTTTGAGCTATAGCCCCAGGC